TTACGTTGATGTACGTATACGCATATGTAATGACGAAGGTCGATTATTTGCACGTAAATATTTCAAGAGAAAAGTATTCGAGAGCTGCTGGTAGCATCAGTTAATGCACTTTTCTTACACGCGTCTATTCACAAATACCTGTGTACAATAATAGCGCACTTATTCGCTGCGCAAACAAACAAATACTTACGTTTAAGGACACACGTACGCGCGTATCTAATAGTTATTCGTTCGTCCATCTATACACTTTGGCTTTAACCTCGCGGTACACGTAAACGCGACCCTCCCTTTTCTTTCGAAATCGGCGCACAACACGCGGTTCGATGTATCTGAAAAGGGTTTCTCGGAGCTTTCCACGAATCCATTCACGCGTTGCGTGCGCAGGCGTAAAAGAGGAGAAAATCTTCGACAAACGTAATTATGAGAAAACGAATGAGATGCGTGCGCGTGTGTAGCTTGAGCGATAGGGTGAAGCCATGATACAGTGGGAGAATATTCATGAGAGTAAGGAAAAAGAAACCCGACTAGCGCTATTGCAATACGTCTGTCTGCCTTCGATTCTCGTGGCTTTACAAGTTCTACATATCGTATTGAGCGCGAGGGCCCCGAGAGTTACGAAAAGTGACGATATTCTCATCTTTAACTACTACCACCGAGAGAGATCTGAAGAGTGAACATCCAGTGATAGTTTATTATGGCATATAATGGATTCGAGCGGTTGCATGTCTGCGTGACTTGCGGGTAATGTAATTTCCAAGAAAGACCGATAGGCGGATTTTAAATTTCAAGTTTTTAGTTTCAATTTTTATTTTCGCGAAACAAGTTTATAGAGCAGCAAGTGGCAATTATCTTTTCAAATGCACCAATAATTTAATATTAAATCAATGATTGCGACCGTTAAAAGTTAATCACACGTTTTAAAAATAGCTGCTTAAATATACAGAGTAGGATAAATTTTTCTCTTTACGTCCCGCCTGACCTGAACGTAACAAACGTACGCAAGAAGCATCGGAGACGCAGCAAAGCCACTCGAAACCAACTCGAGCTTGCTCCTCGCACAACCTCGCCTACCCGATTAAGGACAGCTAAACGGAGCAAGATAGAACAATTGTTCCTCGCGGTCTTCGTCTTGACCCAGTGGGCAACGATTACTCGGCGGGCTGACAACGAAGGGGGCGGATGGTGTTGGCTCGCGAATTTATCGCGGTGCCCGTTAACACACACTGAAGCGCATCCAAGTCCGATCGCGTTCCCGATAGCGGTGCGATACCAGTAGCAATACTCTGGACGTCTCTTTCCTCCGCGTGTCTGCTCATGATGGGCGGCAACCTTCTGCGGAAACGCCAAGAGAATTCAGGTGGATTTTTAATGTGACTATAAGCTTCAAGGGGCTCGCATTTTTACGTACATTTTTTGGTATTCCATTCGCTTAAGTCAATGTTCGTTCGATTACTCGTATGATTATTCCGCTGCACTTGATGTGGCTTCTCATACGGGTGACGAAGTCGTTTAAACGCTTTTGCAAAGGGACGTATTGGACGGTCGTGTTGCGTCATAGTCCGGGAAGCGCGGAGCAACGCTAAAAGTCGAGCGAACATCGCGCGACATCGAGAAACTAAAAGGAGGCGGCGAGTTTACCTCAGCCTCCGGGCGGCTCCGGACCAATAGCGAGAGCCGTAGTGCGTAAGCGTTGACCGCGGTTCACCGCGATGTCTCACGACACGGGTAAAGGGGGGAAAAAGGAATCGGAGGAGCCCCCGCTACACCACGCCTCGGGTGTATGCACATGAGGGAGCGCCTCCGTGAAGAAATAAAATATGTGTTTGTTTGTTTGTGTGTGTGTGTGTGTGTGTGTGTGTGTGTGTGTGTGTGTGTGAGAGAGAGAGAGAGAGAGAGAGAGGCACACCTGAGCACTGCTCTCTTTATTTCTCGCCCGTAGCGCGTACACGCACACGATCTTACCCAGGCACAAGCATGTATTTTCACCGGGGAAACGCTACCACGTCCTCGCCGGTGAGCCTCGAGGACACGGAGGTTGCGTAGGCTTCCTCGCACACTTTTTCTTTCCTGTCAATCCATCTTCTCTTCTCCCCCACCCATCACCCTCCTCCCTCCCTCTCTCGCTCCCCTCGCGCGCCTTTCTCTTCCGTGGGGCATTTTTATTCACTCGTCTTTTTTTTTCTTTCTTCACCTTTTCCCTTCTTTGTGTGCGCCCACTTTATAGAGAATACGAGAGAGGAGAGGCCAACTATCCTCGACTCGCGTTGACCGCACTTTGAACTTTGCGTACAATATATGTATATGTGTTTGTGAATTTTTTAAGACACTAATGGTATTTTGGAGGGAGAAGCTGAGAGGGTCAATATACATGTAAAGCCAATATTGATGACGATGCAACGCGCATATGACAAACGACAAAAACTATTTTACATTCGATTGATATAAGTGGGCACTTGAACTAATCGCATATTTTTTGCAACAACTTTTACATAACTCCGATTTTCCAGATCGAATTTAATTACCTTTGCCTGGAAAATATTTTAACGTCGTTAAAAACTTTTGCCCTTTCTCAATCCGGTTAAACGTTGCGAGAGTTGCGCAGCTTTTTCCACGCGCTTCTAGGATATTTCACATCGTATGTGGCTCACTATGCAAAAGAGGGAGCCTCGGCGCGTAAATGAGCCGCATTATAATATATTCGATAAATCAAACATGGCAAGTGTTGTTTTTCCTATAATATACTAAGTCTTCGCGGTCCTGTCACATTAATCACCACGCCAATAATTGACGGTTGCGTGGCTTTAACTTTTTAATTGTTCGTACCTCTAATTGCACGTTATATGTGTACGGATAAACAAGGCTGTCGAATGCGTTGATACGTATATTATACGTGTATATTACGACTTGAAACAAGAAGAAGCACGACCCGTGGGGCAGCTTGTTTCTCTCTCTCTCTCTCTCTCTCTCTCTCTCTCTCTCTCTCTCTCTCTCTCTATCTCTCTATCTCTCTATCTCTCTATTTCTCCCAACGAGAGAATCCTTCGACTAATGACATTATCCGGTCCAGTAGCCCCAACGATTGCCATCGGCCAACGGTGGTCCATATCGAACGATTATAACTTGTAATACGGTCGGTATTATAATTTTCGAACGATTATCACCAAGTAGTAGACCAAGTGATAAAGCTTCTGGTATTCCGTTCTACGGTCCTGCTTCTCTCCACCCTCCCCCCTCCCCCGCCTCACTGTCGCTCTCTAACGTTATACTTTTTTTCTTCATCTTCAGAAAAGTAATCCCTGAATTATTTCGGGTCGTAAAAACGGTACTCGCTACGCAGTCTCCTTTTTCCTTGCATTACTCGTTAAGCCGTTAAAAAATAACTATGAAAATTGATTATCGTTATTGAGATGCAATATAGAATATCGCCACGTAAGACGAGCATTCAAATTTTTAATACTCAATTTTTCAAATTATTCCCTCCATGCATATATAGTGCGTAAACTTTTTTAAAAACTTTCTATAATTTAGCCATACTTTTTTCTTTACAATATGCCAAACATAGCAAATTACATTTATATTCGAAGATAAATCGTATTTGAAATCGATGACAATGACTGCCAATAACAAATATAAATATAATCCGATAATTTTCACGATAATATCATTAGTATCGTTGGATTTTCATATTACTCGGTCCTTCATTATAAGTGCGAGAAATTAAAATGAACCATAATCGCATAGGCGACTGTCCCTTCGAGCCAAATAAAATATTTCACAAATTTGCCTTGTCCTTTTCTCGAATAAGTGGAACAGAGATTTGCGGGAATCCTCCGTTTCGAAGCTTATTTGATGAGTAAGACGGTTTCTTCGAGCGCGTGTCGTAAATTTGCGAATAAAGTATTTCCGCACGATGACTGTATCTCATAAATGAATCGCTCGACGTTATAAAGCGCACCGCCGGCCCGGGCATTCCTCAGAAAATCAAATCAAGCGCTCGTTCGCTCGCCGAAAGAGGAAGAGACAAAGGAGGATGGAGAACGTTGCGCTAACTCGAGGAGCCCAACAAAGCCAAAAGCAGACGAATTTCTGACAATTTGCTCGAGTTTCCTGCCTCTCTCAAGTTATAGCGCAGTTTAGTCACTTGCCTCGCGTCAACTCCATTCGCCCCCGCCGAGGCCGATCCCGAGCCACCCACCTTCCCCAATTAACAGCGAGCGCAATAATTGCCGAGCGACTATGGTCCATAAATTGCGAACCGGAAACCACGGGGGAGGCCCTACGCGGCTATTGCGCAAGCGGCGTGAATCGCGTTGTCCGGCCGCGTATGAATTTACGAGGTACGGGGTTAAGGGAGCCGCATCGGACACTCGCGGCATCCAGGGCGTGGCGAATTATTGCGACGCCACGTGATTTAACACTGCCCATTCGCACCGATAAAACTGACAGATGCCCCGGATCGCCTTCCCGATCGCCCCCCCCCCACCCGCCATCCCAATACACCACAGTGCAACCCGATAGTTGGGGTTGCCGCTTTAATGCGACGGTCACTCGACTCGACTTTACCCCGAGTTTATAATAACAGTCGATGTTATTACAGCTTGTTACACGGATCCTGACGACCACTAATATACGAGCTTGTTTTTTCCTGGATAAGCATGTTCGTTGGCAGTACCGAGCGCCCGCGATCCTCGTGCTCACTGACATTGTCGAAAATATCCAGCACCTCGACCATTCACCTTTCGCGTCGCCGTAATCCTCCTTACATTCGCGAGGCCGTACTTGCACTTTAAATAAATTGAGCATTCGCAGTCGGATTACGAGGGAACTTCCCATCAAGTATATAGCGCGAACCGTGCATCCTTTCCCAAGGCATCGACTAGGGTATCGACGAACGAGTAAGGATAATAAAGCTTCCCGTCGCGAAGACTCGGCCCGGAAGCTGGAAGCTAGCCCTGCCAATGACGAAAGTCATCAACGCTCGCAGGAAATAAAGGACTGACCTGCGTCTGCGTAAGTCCGAGGCTCGCGGCGAGTTCAGCTCGCTCGGGTAGTGCTAGGTACTGCGTTCGCTGAAACCGCCTGTTAAGCTGCTGTAACTGCAGACTGCTGTAGATCGTCCTGGGCTTCCTCATCTTCTTGCCCTTGCCGTTCCTCAGGGAGCCGCCGCCGCCGCCCCCGAGCTCGTCCACGATGCCGCCCTTGTTGTCCAGAGGCGAGAGGTCTGCGAACATTAGAGTCATACGTACATTGGTGAGTGCGTGCCAGCATACGTACCTATGTGCTTGCATAAGTGTACGAGAGAGAGAGAGAGAGAGAGAGAGAGAGAGAGCGCACGTGCTTATGTGGGTAAGAACTGGCTGGGCAGTCACCCTTAACGGGCCGCGAATACGTTGGCGTACTTTTGTATTCCAGTTTTTGCGAATAAACGAGCCGAATGCCTCGTAAGCTCAACGTTTTTTCATTTAATTAATCGAAAGCCAAATTCTTAATGTTAATCGAACGAGATACATTAAATAATGACTTGTGTATGTAAAGAAAAATTTAAAACATCCGCTATTTGCTGTTTAGTGTATTATCTTTACCCGATAGTTTCTATTTGGCGTATTATTAGCTTATATGTATATTTTGAGAATCGTTGCCCCCATTAATCTACGGAAAAATATGCAAATACTTATTTTCAAGATAATTGAAATGAAGAAGAACGTGCACAGCGGAAAGTTAATTACAATCATTCATCATGACGTCGAAGCCGAAAGACGTGGCGTATAATTTGTATTGATGAAAAACAAGTCGAGTGAATTTCTATTTTGTAAAAATAATCCTCGGCGTAATTGATTCTATGAATAAATCATTGCATTAAGAAAGTCAATTTAATGGAAAAGTATTTAGGTTTTCAATTAAAATGGATCGCAACATTGTTCATCCTCGGAATACGTACAAAACTCTTCTCCCCTTCCCCCAACGCTCGTCCAACTATCTCCAACCTCATGCTCACTATGTAATGTTACATTCAATAGGACGATCGTTAAGGATAAATCTTATGCATATAAGTCAACAAATGTCATCTTTGTATTTATAGTTGATAGTCGAAACCTAGAGTTGCATTATTAAAGTTTCGAACATCGAATCAGTGGCGAGGGATTGCTCAATTATCGCTCGCATAGATGAAAACAAAAACAATGAAAAAAAAAACAAAAAAAAACAAAAACAAAAACAATGAAAAAAAAAAGAAAGAAATAGAACAACTAAGTTTACATTATCAAAAACGACAGGACCAAATGAACTTATAACTAAATTGACGAACCTCGACATGCTGTATAAGCGAAGCCAGGGAATTTCTACATTGTGCTCATAATATAACCTGATTTCTACCCAATTAGCTTCAAATAGTATAAAGAACGCTCATTTATACTCCTTTGCACATTTAAGAGATTTTCACGCGCTAAAACCACTTAAAGCTCAACTAATGACTTATTTAATATTTGCTTGTTTGCGGTTATCGAAAACATTGAAATTGTTTATGCTCGTTGCGAGAAAAGTCTCTTCCTCCCCCCTCTCGCACTGTCGTTCTCATCAGCCCCGTAAATATAAAATTTTGGGTGATAATTAAGACATTTAATCGTATAAGTCAGAAGATGATTCTCCATTTTCAGCGATCCTATTATGATCGCTATTTATTTTCAAGGGGGAAATATCGATATTATTGTATAAAATCACGATCGATTACGCTGCAGCCACATTCATAAGAATGCAATAATGTAAGAAAAAATTGTCCGATATACGATTTAATGGTCGATATAATAGTGCGATTAAAGTAGCAAATACAACGACTATCCCAATGAAACGTTGGTATTTCAAAAAAATTTATTACACGATATAGCCAAAAAATTCTCCTTATCATCGCGCAACAATTCAATAGATTAACCAGAATGCGAAAGTAGGAGGAGTGCAAGAGAAGCGGCAAGAGCACATCGCTTAATCAAGCGCCATAAATTCGATAAACAAATTAGTATTCAATCGGTTAGGAAATACTCCCCGCGCGCGAAAGATTAACTACACGATTGGGACGAGCGATTCCTGATAATCTTTCCATTAATCAGCAACGACCCACGCGAAAAGACAAG